AGAAGAGTACTAATAAATTACAAAAGTTTAATATGTGGGTACACGTAAGCGATTTTTTTTCACGTTTCTCTTTAATGCAGAAATGCTACTAGAGCATCTATATGCATTTCTGCATAAAAAAAAAATCCGAAAAAAATGTCGCAAACGTTTTTTAGGGGGGTTTGGACTGGATATTTTAAAACTAGAGATCGCATATAAAAGTCAATGAGAAAAAAATATGTTTTTCTACTTGGCTTGCATTTGGTGTTAGGGGGAAACGGTTTCTCATTGTGTGACTTATTTACATAAAGCAGCGCCAAGGGGGTTATTTGAAAATAATACTTTAAAATAAGCAAAGGAATTAAATCTGCTGAACGTGAGACTAGCACTAGCGACCCTAAGGGAAATAATATTTGATGGGGCCTCTTTAATGAGTAATATTAGTTGTGTTTTTGCACCCACTTTTCAGCAAGGTCCAGCAACAATTGTTACGAATTTTTATGTTTGGCCTAGGGGAAATTGAGCGAAAATGAAAGTTGAACTTGCAAGCATTACTGTATAAATTTTAAAGTAGCTGGCAAACGTGGCAAGTACAAGTCCTTTTTAAAAGTCTGTTAAACTCAAGAATTTCCTAAAGATATTGCAGTAGCAATTACACTTTGCATGAAAAGTGGCTTTGAGCAGCTTTTTGTTCTGAAAATCAAACCCAAAAACTACTTTTTGTCTGTTTACACGGTGAATGCAGGCAAGTCCACTTTAAACTATGTTATCAGACATATTTATGCTTACAAAATTAATGACCTGAAAAATTTACTAAGCCCGGCAAGATAAGTCATAAAATGTCTAGTACATTAATAATTAAATACTCCATATCAGTAGAATAAATTAATTACACATATTTTTCATATTTACTCGACATTTTTATAATTTTATACATTCTCCAAAAAACGCGTCACACGGCAACACTCGATTGGTTTGACAGCACTTGCAGCACTTGAAAATTGCTAGTGCAGCACGAGCAAGTTGAAATTATTTCTCGAAGGCGATTTGCGTAATTTCAATTGCAGTTACGCCTTGCAATTTTTATTTCCGAAAGTGATTTCTGCAAATCTACAAAAAGAACTTTCTCGACAGTTTACACGAGAAAGTAGACTTTCGATTTCGCCAGCAAAATGCGTAGATAAGGCGTTTGCATTGCCACGTTTAACCGCACCTTTACTGGCAACAATTTGCAAGTACGAAATACAGCTGATGGCATGTTGCTGGATGCAATACATAAGCTCTGATCCAGTACTCCATGAACTTACAGGTTTTTATACGAACTTGCAGGAAGTTACAGGAAAAATAATCCCGTACTCCAAATTCCTCCAAAACCCTGTAAGTGAGAGCGAATTTTGGAGAGTTGTGTAGAGAATGAACCCGAACTTTTTCTTCTGGTAAAATCAAGAAAAGTGTCAAGCAATCACTGGTTGACATTTTTACAGGAAAAATGCTTTTTTTGTTCCTGTACATTTTGTTGTTACTCACTATTTACTGTCACTTCAGAGAGAAATTTTGCTGTTTGACAATAGGTTTGTTCGTCGAAAATCCAGCAAGAATTATCCAACACTCAAAATATCAGAGAGTAAGAAAAAATTCTCTCAAATTCTCTCTCATGTTGAGAAAATTGCAAATTTCTGCACGAACGCAAATTTGCAGGAATTTGCAAGTTTCTCTGCCAGCTGGCGTCCACGGTTGCATTTCAAACATACAAAATTTGTATAGAATTTTTAAAATTCTTTCGGATGGCCAAAAACAGGATATACATGTATATTTCTTGTTGTTCTGACTTTCTTTAACATACATTTCAATTTCTTCATCGTACTAGCTGTCGGGTTTCTTAAATCGACTCTGGTTGAAATTGCATTCCGATTGCGAATACCATTTTTTCAGCCGAATTAAGTTCAAATCATTGGAATTAACTAAATTAATTATATCAACAATTATTTGCTTCCTTTTTTCATAAAAAAATCGCTCGTGTTTATAAATTTTTAAATTTAACGAACTAATTTATTCAAATTATTGTAGACAAAAATGCAACCATGCACCACAACCACATGTATTTCGTGTTTGCAAATTCTTGCTGGCAAAATTTTTTCCAGCAAGAATTTGCAACTTCTCTGCAAGAGAACTGTCACTTTGCTCTCACAATTTTTGAGTGTTAGGTCGTGGTTATGCAGACAAACTTTTGTTTGCCAAATTAAATGGCGGCTGCTTAGTTTGCTCGGAGGTGGTTATGTCGAGTTTGGTACAGGGTTGCACGTTCATTATGGTTTTCATAGCTATTGGCAACACGAAATGAGAATTTCAGATTTACATAACGCGCACAATTAATATATATTTTTTTGATATTGCATAGGCAATTAACTGTGCCCTAATCTTTGAAGCTCCTACAGCATAAATACAGTTTTCTGGCTTTCGGTATCATGGCAATTTTTGTGTATAGCAACAATTGTCTAAAATTTTTGTATATGGCAACACCGAATTTGCTGCAGTTTGACCAAACAAAATTAGTTTGCTGTGAGAGTCGCCAAACTCGCTCTCTCCGAGTTTGCTGCAACAACAATTGCACGCAGTTTGCCAAACAAAATTTCTGCATAACACCGACCTTAGATAATTTTTTGGTCTGCACGAACGCGATTTGGGCAAAAATCGTGATAATTCGTACAAATTCGTACAAATTTTTTGCTCGACGAACAAACCTATTTTTACAGGATTTTACACGAAAAGTATTGGATCAGAGCTAAAAATACTTTTATTGGGTAATTTCTGCGCATAAACAACCGATTTATCAGCTGTTTATGAAACTTGAAAAATATTACAGGTTTTGCATTCACATACTTTCTTGGATATTTTTTCTATTAGTGAATTCTCAGAAATTGTGTTACTGGTGAGTTCCTGGCAAGTTAATGGATATTTTTTACATGAACAAACCTGTTGTCTGGCTTTACTTTTGTTATGCGAATACTCGGAAGTGAAACCCATTATTTGCAATCTCTGTTTAAAAACTTTGTAACACACATACGAACATATGTACGCACAATGCAATGGAAATATTTTAATTGGGCTTTTTATAAATTACCTTAGTATCTCCCAGATCATCTGCCGTTGTCTGTATGTTATAAGTTCTCCGTTTACGTTGCCCTTTTACATGTGGAGACGAACTGCGTCTGTCTGTGTTGTAACTCCTAGATGCGATGCTGGTTTTACCTTTTCGAAACGATTTTTTCTTTGTTGGGCAGGTGTGCGCTGTGGTATCTGTGTATTTAGCGTTGATATTTTGCAACAAATCCGAGTTACTTCCTGTCGGTGTCAATATTGACGACGACGCTGACGAAGAGTACGACGATGTGGAGCTAACGGAAGTACTTTTATGCCTACTTACATGTACCCAAGGCCAGGGTAACGATGCTTGTGATTCCGAAACCTGTGGAGTCACCAAATTCGCCCAACAACTATTACAATCAAGATTAATGCTTTTAATACTGCTAATACAATCGTGTTGATTGATAAGAGTGACGTCTGAAACTGGCTCAACAATTTTTGGTGATGTTGATGGTGCTTGATGTTGCTTGAGCTGAGTTTTAGCTCTGTGCGAAGAAAGAGCAATCGAATTGTCAGCAGAGGACGCGTCGCAATTATTATTATTATTAGATGATGGTGTACAACTGCTGTTGGCATCTAATATTATGGTATTATTATTATTAACCAAATCTTCGACATTCATTAAACAGTTATCAACTTTAGCCACTTTTTGGTTTGGCAAAGGTGGTGCGATAAGATCTAGATAAATTGGGTTCGTTGAATCAGAATCTAAAAGACTTTTATTTTTTGTAGTGATATTTCTCTTATTATTCTTCTTATTATTCAAGAACGTGTGCTGTTGTTGACTATGGTGGTAACGATGCTGATAGAACTTCTTGCGATTTGAAAGTGATGTAGTTGGGATATTGTATAGCGTGTGTGAATGTGATTTTTTAACACTTTTGTTATTTAAATCACACTGTTTGGGTGTTTGTAGCGATTTAACGCTGTCGCTACTGTTATAACTGTTCCCTTTATAATACCTCATTTTTGGTGACTCGTTTTGTACAATATCCGTGTTCATTTTGGAAATAGATGAGTTGGTCTTTAAAAAATTGTTTTGATTTTGACTCTTAGAAGTTGTTGCATTTGTTAGTGTTATGATTTTCATGTTGCCTGCAACCATTTCAATCTGAACTGATATCAATTAAATAAGAAACTAAACAAAGCTAACTCATTCGGGTTTAAAACCAAAAAGCGAATGTATGTAAATTGTGAACGCCTATATTACGAATATCGCCCAGTTGCTGAGGGTTTCCTGAAATTTAAAAACCCATTTAGTAGGCGCACCTTTTTTAAGAGCTTAGCTTTTCATTTTGAGTATTTTTTTTATCGAAAACATCTCTATCTGAAACGAAATAATAATAAAAAGCGATCTGATATAAAAGTGGTAATTAAATAGATAGCGCTGGCGCACAAAAGAAAAAAAAGTTGTTCCAAGTTGCATTAATGCAAAGCATCAGCCTCTTTTATTTCTGAACTATAACTGATGGAAAAGTCCAATATGCGCAACCACGTTCAAATGCCGAATTGGAACTTAGTTGCACAAATTGGACATTTCCATCAAATTTGGCTTAGAAATAAAAGAGGCTGATGCTTTGCATTAATGCAACTTGGAACTCAGCCTACATTCAACTTTTCTTTTTTAAGCCAAAAGCTACTGGTAAGGCTTATATAGGTAAATAAATATGTATGTACATATTTTTTATTGCGTAAGCTTTTTTGCATATATAATAATTACATAGGCGCGTATTGATGGTCTAAGTCGTAGGTACCAATTTAAAATTCACTTCTATTCATAGTCGCATTTTAGACTTCTACTAAGTAGCTTTAACTAAGTTTTACGAGTGAGAAAATGCATCGATATATATTATATTTTTATTAAATAATCGGCTCTATTATGGTTGTCGACGTCGACGTCGATGTAATTTTTTCATCCAAAAATAGCCCACGTAAGTCCAACTCCAGCTACTCTGACCACAGTATTTCGCGAGGAACACCTTTACGAGGCTATTTCTGGATAAAAAAAATGACATCAACGTCGACATTGACAGCCATAATAGGGCCGAATATCAAGTTTGATCATCCGTTTATGTAATTTTTGCTTTCATTGTATGTTTATGCAAAAGAAGAAGGTAATTCTTTTCTTGTTAATTGTGTTAAATAGGCAGAACAACCACAGTGCTGCGAAGTCGATGTTTCTCGAAAGCATGCTTTGTAACATACAAACACATTTCTAAATGTTATACACTAATTTACTAAAAAGACAAGTTAAGTTATTAAGTTATCTAAATCAGCAGTCAGAGGGTTAATAAAAAAAAATCGTTTATTATAAAAAATATAAGTTTTCCATTATTATTTTTATTTTATACATATATTGATAATTAATATCGTCGATGAATTTGCGAAACCGCCCATCGACCAGTTGCAAAATGGCCTAAATCGCCGTTGTGGCAAAAATGAAATTTGGTAACCCTGAACTACAGGCATCGAGATTTATGCATAAAAATCGTAAAATCGTTATTAAAAAAAAAGATTTGTAAAATAATAATAACAAAATTATAGATTGGCGCTTACATATATGTTAGTGTTTGGCCGATCTTGTAAAATAATAGCTAGAGAAAATGCAGCCTATTAAGGCAATGCCTTCAGAGAAAACCCGTTTATTCGCTATCCTGTGAAATTATAACGCCGTAAGATAGGCAGGTATGTATGTACATGTCATCTTCAAAAGTGATATAAATCAAAATTTGGCATTTTGGATATTATGCACCAAGAAATTTATACAGATTTTATTTACCTTTTAGCAAAATCTGGAGTGCCCATATGATTAGCATGTTCGAAGAAATTGGTTTTCGCATTTCTGATGAACGTGTATTTTGAGTTTTGCCACCTTCGACGATCGTTGCGATATATCGCACGTTTAATAATATATTTCAAAATTTAAGTTTTGTGGGGAAAAAGCAATCAAAATTTGATCAATTCACGCAATGGAATACCAAAAGACCGTTTTCTCCGGGGGGAAGAGTCGTTGCACTTATACCCTATGCCCGTTTTCCGGTTTTTCCGGGGCCAAGAATCGCTATTCTGCACTTATAGCCCAAGTTTGAAATTTGGATTTATATGGTTTTCTTAGATAATGACCTATACTACCATTACAAGAAAATTAAGAACATTAATAGGGAATTTAGATGAGGCGATTTTTAGTTGAAAGCAACAATCGCCTGATGCAAACGGCATTTCAAGTAATCGCTTTCAATGAAGTTGGTCGGTGCCTACTTTCGTTCAACTAATCGCCTGTGAAAGTTGAATCATATAAATTCCCTATATAAACAAGCAAATCGAAAGTCAACTCCGTTTAGCATGTTGAGGTGCTATCGTTTTGTCGCGGGCTGTACATATAACTGGACCTTCTAACGGGTCTAAAACATCTACATACATACATACTGAACCTACCGTACGAAATGTGTGAGCAAGTCCCGCTTTACATAGCAACCCACCTGCGTGCTTTTCTGACCGACTGGAATTCGGAGTATGCTTATTTAATTTTTAATATCTTCGAAGCGCCAAGCAATCCAATTTATTCTTCCATATCTGCCGCAAACGTCTTTGCTACATGCGTAACACATGTGTACATTTTCAACGCCGGCTTTACTGCACCGGGCTGAAGGAAAGCGGCTTATTAATGACAGGCGGTTTTATTATTAATGCACTCTTGTCCTTTTTACTTTAGTTTGACTACAAATACTTTTTTTCGCGGCTTTAAATATTGTGCAAAATTTATTCTTATGATTTTCCTTGAACCCGTTTTCCTTCTTTCCGCGTGTGACTTTTCCAATTCTATTTGGCAGAGGCGGGTGTTTGCTTCAGAAGCCAGGGTTTCGTGCCGACAACTACGCACCAATAAAACCCTGTTTAGACTAAAGGCTAGAAAACACTATACAAGCAGCTTGACAAACTAAAATTGCCTATACAATATTATCTCTGATCCAGTACTCCATGAACTTACAGGATTTTACACGAACTTGCAGGAAGTTGGAGGAAAAATGTTCCCGTACTCCAAAATCCTGTAAATGAGAGCGACTTTTGGAGAGTTGTGTAGAGAATGAAGTTGCAAGATTTTACCCGAACTTTTTCTTCTGGTAAAATCATGAAAAGTGTCAAGCAATCACTGGTTGACGTTACTCACTTTTTACTCTCCCTTCAGAGAGTAATTTTGCTTTTTGACAGTTTTACAGGATTTTTCACGAAACGTATTGGATCAGAGCTATTATAGACATGAACGAAAGACACAAGATCACGCGGGAAGGAAAGAACGAAAAAAGTTATTTTCTAGCTGCCGAAATCTCGACGCCATCTTTGTTGTAAGAAGTAAACAACGAAGAGAACGGAGAAAACCGCGAAATTGTTGAACGCATGAAAAATCATTTTTATTATGCAAATTCTTCTAAAAATCATGCCGTTGTGTTAAATTATTCTTTATCTTATGTGTACACACGTTGTCACAAGCGAAAATGAAGAAAATTGCAGTAAAAAGCCACCACCAAATTGTAAACAACGAAGAAATGTAAATAAACGGCTAATGTCAAAATCGTTAAACTTTTTTCCTTAATGCGATTCTAACGGGCTACTCTCCTGCCCGCGTGATCTTGTCTTTTTGGTTCATGTATTATAGAAAATATAATTTTTTGCACGATAGGTACATCTGCAATTTTCATTTCGTATTGGCAATAACCATAAAAACCACATCCCGTTTGCAACCCATGCACCAAAAATACAAGATCACGTATTACCCCTGTCAGATATAGTTTATATACGATACTAGCATTGCATACATCATGTCTGGCTTTGTAAGGCCCTGTCTCCACAGGAAAACACTGATGTCGTGATAACCATGTCACAAAATATATTTCCAATGGAGACCGTCTATTTCTCATGGGTTGCAATATATCGTCGCCTTGGTAAAAGATTGTCGTAAGAGCAATTTTGACGATTTTTAGTTTTAGATGCAGTTATACGCTTTTTTTCGATTGGTGTTATCAGTTTTTAGATATCTCCTTTAGTTTCCGAGATATTGACTACAGTTTTTTCGATAATTTAGTAAAAATTTAGTTAGTGATGCAGTCATATTAATATCTTAAAATTGGCGTTCTCCATTTTTGGATATCTTTAGTTTCCGAGATATTGAGTAAAAAGTGTAGTAAAATTAGTAGAAATTTTGATCACATTTTGTCGTATTTCATACAAAGTGGACAAAATTTTACTAAAGAAAATCCTTCAAAAACTCAGAACTAATTAACAATTAACAATAAAAATTAAATAATTTTGTGAACTAGTAATATTTTCAGAGATTTTGGAGAAAATCTATCTTCGCGTTTTTGGGAAATTGCATTCCAAACTTCAATCGCGATTTCTCACAATCTGCCGAAATTACATACGATAATCTTTTACCCAGGCGACGATATGTCAGCGCTTATTGCTGGACTTCTATTACTGGCAATTTGATAGTTTGACAGCCATATTTTCATTTGAAAGAAAGCGTGCTGGTGGTAGCATCGATGAAATTTTGATATTAAATCAAAATAAAAATCTGTTCCCTATTGGATTATTTATGATATTTATGATTCCGTTTTATGAAATTATTTTAACATACTATAGGTACGTGGGTTTAAAATCTCCAGTAAAAACATCCTTCCAGCCTTCGCGAACGCAACTTCAATAATTTACAGGTACGCGAATGCAACTGATATGTGCGACAATCTGTGTAGACATAAAACGTAGAAATACACGATCTTACGGTCTGCGCATACCCTGAAAGTTCCGCGATACGCAGACTTGCCGGGTGGTGTGTTTTGAATATTACCAGAGAACCAAGCTTGGTGTGGCCGCCACTATTCTAATAATGCATCTGGTAGCACTTATGTAGTGACAGGTAATCAGCTGTTATTTCATAACCTGCCCAATCTGTGGGTGTGCGTTTATCTTGAAAAAATATAAAAAACAATTGGTTTCCTAGAAAATTTGAATTGACATGTTAAGATTAGGCTTAAGTAATCGAATATGTGGAGGGGAGCAAATCTTTTCTACATGGAGTCGGCTGGCATCGACGTCGCCAGCATCAGCGGCCCCATCTGCTCTACCCAAATCTACACGCCCTGACGATGAGTACATAGATGAAGCTGTTTATCCAGAAATACAGGACTTATCATTTAGAGCACGCAAAAAACGTGAGTCTGAAAGTTGGCATGAGGAAATTCGACGAGTACCCACTGTCGAAGAGAAGCTTATTAAGATTAATATGCCGCGGTATTACGGATACAAGGTGGTTAAATTGAGCGACTCTAAAGTGCCATATAATTCCCTGCCTGCTATGCAACATTACACCCGTACAATTTATGAAGATATTAAAATTTCTGGCAGCTCATCCGAAGGAGATTTAAGCGGGGGACAGAAGGAGTATCTGGCGTCATTGAAAACTGATCTACAAGATGCGATTGAGTATATCTACGACTATTATGGGTACATATATTATTTTTTAGTATCTGTTCGTATTGTTTGTTCGTATAAATGAAAAAATTACTTTTTCTTAAAGACACGAGTACGGCGATAACTCCAACATAGAACCACAAGAACGAGAAAGGATTTTTGCCCGACTTATTGTTGAACAAGTTAACAGAACTCTTATCAATGTGTTATCCGCCGATTATGTTCATCTTCAAGAAATTGAAACCGATTATACTCCTAGGCATGAAGCTTCATGGTCAGTTGGTGGTATTAAACCACCAAAAAACGTTGTTAAAAGCAAGGAAGGACGCGAATGGCAGAAATACATGGCGAATGATCCTTATAATAGATTTATGCAATATTCAGGCACGCCTTTTCTCGCTATTCGTCATCATAAACAACTTTCTCCCTGGAAAAATGAAACGGAATCGACCAATGCCGATCTAGCAAAAACCATACCTCGATTCAACTACGATCCACGTACTCTTGGATACGTTTCTGGACATCAGCATTTGACAAATATACCAGGTAGATCTGCAGAGATTGCGTTTCAATACTAAGACTTAATTCTTTAACTTTTTCAGGTTTTTGGCCCGGTTCCACAAATCTATTTGGAAATATTTCTTATCAATCGCGAGCTTTTCTACAAATAAGGCCTGATACATATGGAGTTGAGGATTTCAAAGAAGCTTTGCATGCTCATGCCATTCAGAGCAGCTATTCTTGGCTATTGGCACAAGCTTGTTACAACGGTTTCAATACTTTTAATGAACTTACCTATCCAATGAATACACAAACGGTGCTGACTAATGGGCGGGATTGGTCATTTTACGAATACCAATTAAATACATTACTAGTGCATTCAAATCATGTTGATGATAATCCGCGAGTAAACTTCTGCCGTGGTACGCCGGAATTGCAACTGTATAGTGAAATAAGTGACACTGGTAAAGTTGTCGATTTAAATGAAGATGTACTAAGGCACCTAATACGCTTTTACGTGAACGTCCCAGTAGTACAACGCTCTGAAAACGAGCTACACCCTTATTTGGGGCCAGATGTGAAGTATGTGGCCGATTATAAAAATGACGAGCAGCGACAATTTTTGGAACGTGTATTTAAGAACTTAATGTCAAATCGACCTCGTCATTTACCCCTTCCAGAAATCTACCTTTGGGAAAAGATCTATAAAATTGATAATAAAACTAGACAGATGGAAGCTAAACGTCGCTTCTTTGAGTTAGATATTAATCCTTGGGCTCGCAAATTGGATCAACATCAAAAGGAATATATACCACGAGCATTGCGCCCGGAGGGACCCAAGAGCAAAAAGAAGTGGAAACCAACTTTTTATCCATAGTTATGTGATAATTATGAAAAAATCAGTTGGTGTTGATTTAAATTTAAATAATAAAAATTGTCGAAAAATCATATTGCTACATATTGTGCCATTATACATGCATATATCGCTCGTTTAATAATATAACGAAGTATTTCAAAATTTAAATTTTGTGGGAAAAGGCAATCAATGTTTTATCAATTCATATAGTTGGTATACAAAAAGACCGATGGGAAAACACATATCTTCGCCATATTTGGGAAGTTTGGTTATCTGTTAGACTGAACATATAGTACTACTCATCAAGTTTATTAATTACATAACGAAATCTCCAAAAACGTAAATTTTGATTTACATCTCTATATTATTAAACGTGCGATGTATATTTTTAACCGACTTCACAAAAAGGAGAAAGGTTATCAATCCGTCGGAATATATATATACACAAATATATATATATAAATATATATATATACAAATATATATATATTAATATATATATATATATATTATGTATGTTACCGCATAACTTCGGACCACGTTAACCGATTTCTAAAATTCTAAAATTTTTTAAATGAAAGACGTTTAATTTGGTTTAAATCCGATCATCGGATCATGAAGAAATTAACGATACTCTTAACTTTTTATATGAGAATTGAAGTCGGTTTTGTTTTTTGCTTAAAAATTACTTGTATGTATTACTATTTATTTTGCTCAAACAACCCAATAAACATTGGGCTTGGTTAACAATTCGGAAATGAACAACAAATTTTTTTTCGATAAGGAATATGGAATTGGTTAGTATTCGATTCGAGAATTAGGCCATTCTCCAGCAAAACGGAACCTTGGTTATCCCATGTAAATATTTTACCTTCGTTATGAATTCAAAATCCAGCCCATATCGAATTGAAATTCTAATGAGAGTGAAGAGAGTTTTCGGCACCTCTATTCCAGCAGGAGCAAAACTTTTAGCCCCTTACTGTGACTGGCAAACATC